GCAGCGGGGGCAGCCGGCGCCATGCCCCGCTGCCATCCGGGGATGCGGTGGCAGGGACGGGGTGCAGCCTGACGTCCGCTCTCTGCCCTGGCAGTGGCTCACCACGACCTGGAGAACACCATGAACTGCAGCTTCATTGAGCCGCCCTCCGTGGTGGAGCAGCCCTCGCCCTCCTGGTCCTCCCGCGGCTCCTTCTCCTCGTTTGACACCACGGACGAGGGACCTGTCTACTGCGTCCCCCATGAGGGTAAGCAGAGGGACACGGCTCCTGCCAAGGTGGCCCGGTGGATCCTGCAGCATCTTCTGCTCTGTGCAGGGGTGCAGGAGGAGCAGGGAGAAGGCACGAGCCAGCCCTGCTCCTCAGGGACGTGTCTGAGTGCTCAGGAAGGGGAACCAGGACCCAGCCTGTCCCCAGCCCCAGCCCCAGGCTCTGCCGTTGCTTCCACTGGGGTTTCAGAGCCACTTGCTGTTTTAGGGTTTCTTGTCCACTGGGGTCCCTGAACAAGCTCCGGGGCAGGTGGATCGGGAGGTTAGAGAGGCCTAAAGGAGCCTCTTGGAAGGCAGAGACAGCCTGGGTGTCTGCCCCTCTCCCCTCTGCTCCGTGGGTTCAGTCCTGCCCTTGCCCTCCCCTCTCCCTGGGGGCAGTGCGGCGAATCCCCGCGGGTGCCCTCGTAACCCCTCGGTGCTCCCCTTTTGCAGAGAGCGTGGGTGACGGCAAGGACAGGGGCACGGCCTGCAGCCCGGGGGAGAAGGCGGCACCCGCGGCCGGCACCGAGGAGGCCGGCGAGTACACGTTCCTCAAGGAGACAGGCTCCATGAGGGCCTTCCCGGCCGACAGCAGCGAGACGCCCCTGCTCAAGTCGTCGGACAGCGAGCGCTCGTCGTGCGGCTCCGGCTCCGCCAGCGCCGCGCTCTACGCCAGGATCGCCCGGCTCTCCAAGCACTCCAAGGAGGAGGACGAGAGCCCGGCCGAGCCCAGGAGCCCCGGGGGCAGTGCAAAGCCGCCATCCCCTGAGAGAACCAAGCCCCGTCCCCCCGACCCGTCCACGAAGCCCAAGGTGTCCTGGATCCATGGCAGATACAACTGCAACCAGTCCAACTCGCTGCCGGCGCCCAGCTGCTCCCCGGAGCGCACAGCCGCCTCGCCGAGCAGCGCCGAGCACGGCCAGGGCCTGGCCAAGAGGAAGCGGAGCCCGAGCGAGGCCGCCCGGCGCGCACGGCAGAGCAGACGATAAGGGCGGCGCGCGGGGCAAGGAGAAGGCGCAGAAGCCTCCGAAGGAACCCACCTCTCCAGAGGGCAGGGCTTCCCTCCCTGTGGAGCCGCAGTCGCCCTCCAAGTCCAGGCAGAGAGGCAGGGCCAGCACAGAGCACATGGAGAACATCAACGGTGCCGTGCAGAACGCCTTCAAGAAGATGGGTGCTCTCC